TGGGGCAAGTCGTTTGGAGCGACGGGCCAGCTACGCCGGCCCCGATCGGCTCGCCTGCGGCTCCGTCCGTGATGCCTCGAAGCCGCTTCACCGATAACTCTTCCAGAGCCGAGCAATTGTCAAGCACTGCGTTCATTCCTTTAGCTCCGAAAGTGCAAGACCCGCACGACAGCTTCTTCAAGGCCTTGCAGTTTTTGGCGAACGACGACATGCCGGCATCGGTCAACTCGCGGCACGCGCGGAGCTTTAGGCGCGTGAGGTTACGGCAGCGCAGAGAAATAAGGGCGAGCGCTTCGTCGCCGATGCTAACAGCTCTGCGGTCGCATTTGAGGGCGAGTTTGGTGACGGCGTCGAAGCGAGAGAAGAGAGAAGGGATAAAAGGGAGGAGATCTGATTTGGCGTCGAGGGAGAGACGGTGACGGCTCTGTCCCTCGATCCTCAACCACCGAAGGCAGACCAGAGAGCATTGTTTCCGATCACGGGAGCCGAGGGACTGAAATATACAAGCCAAGCACTCGTCGGGAAGATCGGAGATAAAGTCATAAGCCGCGTTGACGATCTCAGAAGATTCGTCGTCGGCCTCCATGGGGCAGATCGCAGCCGTTGATTTGGGCTTGGAGCGATGGCTGTCGCGGTTGCTTTCACGGCGACTTGGGATTGCGGCCGCCGAAGCTGACTGGCCCATCCACGACCAATCGGGAATCAACGGTCGAGCTTAGCCACCTCGGCGTGGTTAATCGTAGATAGCACCGCAGAGGAGCGCTTCTGAACCACTGGCAACCTCCCTGGAAACGTTTGAGGGGCGGACTTGAAATCGGATTGCATTTGGCTTTTTCTGTCAAACTTTTATTTTCTATTTTTTCCTTGGTTGTTTGGCAAATGGAATAGTCATATTTCCACTTGGGAAATAAAAATCAAAAGCGGGCGCTTTCATGTGATTATTGTGGACTCTTTCTTATTGCTTGTCCAGTTGTGGGACCCGCGACCCTGATTTTAAATTTCTACCTGTTTATGATTGGTCGCGTCGGAATCGTATAAATGGAAATGGTCAATAAAAAATTTGAAAATTACGCAAAATAAAACCAACCAAATATTTAAAATCAGTAGTGGATAGCGACAATTCAGGTGTGTCGTCTTTTACAAGTGTTAAATGGATTTTATTAACGCCAACTGTTTTACTGAAAATAAAAGATCCGTGGCGTGCAATTTTCTAAACCAGTACAATCCTACTGACTAGTGAGAGCTACTCCTCCTCGCAATCATGCTATGATTATAGTTAAGATTAAATCATAATTTTCTTTATAAAAAATAATGTACAATCCTAGCAACATTTTATTTTTATTTTTTTTATTTGAAAGTGATTTTTGTATTTAATACCAAGTATGTTTTCTTTTTCTTTTTTGTATTCTTAAAAAACTTTTGAAATACAACATCAGATTTTAAACATCTTTAATTTACAGTCATTCACCTTTTCAAAACTCAAATAAATTTTACTCTACATGAATGGTTATATTTTTCTTCTTCTTTACAATATTTCTTATTCCATGAGGTGAAGAGTTAGGTGATTTCCACCAACACGTGCTAATAAGTACATCATATACAGAAGTTTGTGTAAAATTGTGTATATTTTTTTATATAGTTTAATTATGTAAATAAAGGCTCGTTTGTGAGTGATTTTGAATAGACCAATAATCATTTTCATGGATAATAAAGTGATTTCAAGCGATTTTAGAGATCAAAAAGTGAGAGGCGCTTCTCTTATGCTCTCCTCTTTCTAAAATCACTTCCAAACAAACTCTAATACGCATTTATATATGATATGAATAAATTCGTAACGATAAAAATTATTCTTAATCACTAAAGGTGACAAAAAAAAAAGGTATGTACGTATCTTTTAAAAGCACAATTGATTTGACAATATTCGCATCCATTAATAAGTTTGACACATAAAATAAAATATCCATGCTTCTAATCCGCAAACCAATTGGACCTAAGTGCTTTTTTTTCTTCTTTTTTTTCTTTTTTCGGGTGTGTTGTGCACATGTAGAGTAGATATCATTATGTTTATTTACTTTTATATGAACATGCTTGGCTCTTCATGCACATCCAATTTCATCATTTGTGAGGAGGCAACAAGGTTATCCTCAAAATTGTCCCTTATTTTCAAAACTTCAAATTCACATGATATTTTTGCATGCTCCAAATCCAGCACAATGGCCCATGTATTTTTAGTTCATGTTCTTTTTTGAATTACAGTTATTAGGGAGGGGGCCACTTTTCATGAGAATCGAACGATGACCAAGGGGGAAGGAGGAGGGACCTCACCACTAAGGTAAACCCCTTGGTCTTTAGTTCATGTTTTGAGGCTTACATGAAGCGTAGAATTTTATAATGAGGGTCTTATTTAAAATCCTTATATGAAACTCTATCTCTTAATCGTTGGATTAAATTAGTTAACTATTGAATCAAATTGGTTAGTTTGATCAAATGATTAAATGATATGGTCTCATTTAATGGCCTTAGAATGACTCAACACAAAGCTACAAAAGGCATTAGGCTAAGACAAAAGAAACATAAAATTAAAAATTGATGGTTCCCATCATAAATTCCATGGGCCTTACTCCCAACTCCACGAGAAATTGGGCCTTCTTCATGGGTCTGCAATTTTTATGTTGATAGAAAAAAAAAACCCGAAACAAATACCAGAATTCCTAAAAAGTTCACCGCCATCAGTCACTAGTCACTGAGTCATCGACAGGCTAGTCTAGTCACTACCACGATCCACGATACACTGCCGCCACTCAAACGATGAGATGACGACGAGAATGGGCACTCTCAACCCTACGCTGCTCAGAAGCATTTCGTTCCTCTGCGTGCGGGTCCAGCACCGGCGTCTGGGCCTTGGGCTGGTGGGCCCGAGTGGTAGGGCGTGGTGCAGCGGCGCGAGCGAGTCGACTCGGGCGGCGGGGCCGGAGGGGGTATTATCCTCTGCGGACAAGTCCACGCTGAGAGTGCTGAGCGTCAAGGAGGCGCCAAAGTACCCGAGGTGGGACGACCCTGACTACTGTAAATGGAAGGATAAGGAAGGGGAGATTCTGAACGACATCGAGCCCCTCGTTTTGCTCGCCAAGGAGATTCTCCATTCTGACAGGTACGCTACGAGCTTAGGTCCAGACTCAGTTTGAATGTAAACCTTGTTGGAAGCTATGGTGGCAGGTTTAAGTGGTTTTTGGTGGTGTTTGCAGGTATATGGATGGTGAGAGCCTTTCAGCTGAAGATGAAAAGGTTGTGGTGGAAAGGCTTCTTGCTCATCATCCGCATTCTGAGGATAAAATTGGCTGTGGAATTGATTCTATCATGGTGAGTTTCTATACCTCGTAATCACAGTGATAGATTCTTTGTTGGAGTTGGACTATCATAATAATTCAAACGGGGATTGTTTCTTAAATATGATTTTTAAATTCGTACATGATGTTTATACCTTAAACAGAACAAGATACTGGCAAAAAAAAGAAAAGAAGCTTAATTAGTTTAATATTAATTAGTTTCTGTTTTTTCTTTTTACTGAATTTGACCATTCATTTTTTTCGAAAATATCAATATGTTTGCTATAGTGTCAAGGATGGTTTGGAAGCCACCACTGGTTTTGTGAACATCTGTGCATGCCCCCTTTTTGTTTTCAACCTCTGATTAATTAGGTGTAGTGTTAATGCTGATCGCCGAACCAATTTTTGTGTCGATTAAAAGATTTAACATGAAATTGGTGTCACTAACCTATGGAAAATGAACGTCTCTTTTAAAATTGTAGTCAGGTACTAAATTATTTGTGGTGGTATCAAGGATGGTTTGAAAGCCGCATTGCTGTGAGTCACCTCACCAATCACCACTAGTAGGATAGTTTAAGGAAGCTAGTCTGATGATGCTTTCGTGATGGTCTTTGGGTTAGGGAAATATGGGTTTGAAGGGTTGAAACCAAAGGTTTGTGTATTAGTTTTGAGGTGTTCATATGGATTCTTGAAGGCTAAAACTTGAAGACGTTTGGAAGAGATGCTTTCTGCAATCTGGCAGCAGGTAGTTTGAAAAGTCTTGGTTGTTTTGACGGGTTGATGGAGGCCTAAAGATTGTGGGAGCAATGTGGGATTAGAGAGGAGAGTAATTGACTTGGGTAGGCAAATAGGTTAAAGCAGCTAGCAAGTTTGTGTTCAAATGAACATGTGAAGGTAATGGTGTGCAGGAGCAGGATCAATAATCAGGGTCAGAGACAGAGGTACAGGGAGGGAACCTAGGGAAGCATGTCTTCCATAAACCAAACACTTTTTTTTAAATTAATCAAACTCTTACATATGTATACATCGACTCCAACATAGGTGTAAGATTTCACTTGTGCTCCTAATTATAGCTCGGGTAATTCTATTCACAGCAATCCTCCTAATCTTTATGGCCGAAAAGAAATTATAGTATCACCCATTTTACCCTTATTGATTTTTTTTTTTCTTTCTTCTTTCCTTGTTCCCGTTCTCTTCTCTTCCTGTCACCTCTTCCCCTTCCTCCTTTTCCAATCCTCTTCCTCCCCTCCTCCACTGATAACCATGGTGCACGCAACGCCAGAATTTTACAAGCAGTCAAGCCTTAGTACTTGCAAATTGACTTTTATAAGCAGTTAACCCATATGACATAGCTAAAACTGAATTACATGCAAATAGTTTTTTTTGTAAAGAAGATATATGCGAATAGTGCTGCACAAACAAACACAGCTAAGAAGTTTTAAGAAAATTTCAACAGTTTTGTCAATAGAAAAGCATTTGTCTAGGCCAAAAGTTCTTTTCATCCCCTGTGTAAGTGGGATCATTCATGTCGTGCAATAGATGTAGTGGGCGACGCGCATTTGCGATTTTTTAACCAGTAACATTTTTGAGAGCCGCATGTCTTAACCAATATAACAACAGTGAGGGACTCGAGATCTACTGATAACTCATCCTTGACTATTGGGCCTTACTTTCCATTGTTTTTTGTTATTCATTCCTTTTCAACACAATTAAATGGTTTTGGACACTGATGAATGAACTATTATTAATGTTAGTCTCATTGTTTCTTTGGCTACCTTTTGCCTGTGAGTTTGGTCCAGAAATGGGTATTATGTTGAGAAATAGGAATCCTTCTTTCTATGACTATTTCCATGAAATGAAACACACGCTCTCTCTCCCCTTCAGTCTGATTCTGATTTGTCATTTAATTTGAATAGAACTGAAAATGATTATTGGTTGGCATCGAGTTTTCAAATTCTAATTGTTATCAGTAATATGTTATTAGCTAAGTCAGCTCACTCAGTATTTATCCTTTCCATTTCTTATCAACCTCTGTATTATGTGTACTGTTGTGTTTGCCTAGGAGAATTAACCAATTCTGTTTAACTTCTCTTGCTGAAGGTTGATCGACATCCCCAATTTAGACACTCAAGGTGCCTGTTTGTCATAAGAACTGATGGTATATGGATTGACTTCTCCTACCAGAAGTGTCTTCGAGCATATATCCGAGATAAGTACCCATCCCATGCAGAAAGATTCATTCGAGAACATTTTAAACGTGGTAGTGGCTAAATGTGTATCACTCGTAATGCTTGTATTGAAGTTTAATTTGGCTTTGGTAATTAGAGATCAGCATGATATGAAATTCGAATTTTTCTAGCAAGGGGGTACTATGATCCACATATAGCCTAGATCCACAAAATGTCAATGTAGTGGATAATCCTTGACTGACACTCAAATGCATCTTTAAGAATGAGGACGAAGAAAATGATTGAAGTGAACTTTGTTGACTTGCATTTCCTTTTGTTGGCCTTGAACATATTTTCCAATTTATATGACATGTAAGGTTTGTCTGTCTGTCCTAGGAACTAACTGCCTTTGAGAATTTTATAGGATTGTTGAACTACTTAGCTCAATACCTACAGGTCCTCGAAGGTCGTTAGACAACAACCTGGCTCTCTCTCATTGTTTAGAAACTTTGTCATGCATTGTAGCTTCAATTAAAGAATTTAGATGGAGGAAATTACATAGTTCCGTATGTCTGCGATTCAGAAGCTGGGTCAATTCATTCCATCAGTCTAAGATGTTCAATCTTATGATCTTGTAGCTTTTTGGCTGAGCCTCAAAGGAGATCACAACATTGCAATTGTGAGAAAAACTGATGATTGAATTTTGTGTTTGTGTTTGGTAATAGTTGGATGCTGAATGGGTCTGGAATTCCATGGACCACCCGAGAGGACTGGTTCAAATCAGTTTAGTTAGAAGTCTGATTATTTGAAATTATTTACCTAAGTGGTCCCATTCTTAGACTGACTACTAGATATTGAGTAGTTGAAACTGGTACTATGAGTCAAAAGAGTCAAGCGCAGATCAGATGGGCACGCTGTTTAAGCTGGTACTTGGCTTTTTACAAGTCAAAACAGGGCAAGTGTACAACTGTTTTGTGTCTGCAGAAATGTGGTTAGTATTGAAGACAACATCATTTCTTCTTGGAAAATTCTAGACTAACCAGACCCAGAATCAAATTAAAAACTTTTACTTCAATATATTCTCTAAACATATAGGAAAAAGATAATTATTTTAATTAAATACTTTTAGTATGAAGATTACTTTTGCGGAGTGAAGTTTTGGATGAAATAGAACTTACACCATTCACAAATAAGTCATTGCTAGACTAGTCGGGTAATTACAAATTATATAAATTATCCGAAATGTCAGAACACACATGATGCAATATAAACAAGAATTTGTGTGAACAAACGCATAAAACAAGATGGCACGAATCTAGTCGTTAGAGAAAATGACCAGGTAATTGTGTAAATTTATAAAACATTTTTACCCATTTATTCGATGTTACTATTGGTATAATGATCTTATGGATATTGGCTTGTTTTGGTAAAGTTGTTTAATGCTTTGTGGTCTAAAACTGGTAGAATATTCTCAACTTTAAAGTTTCCCCACCTATGAGCTTTACTTTGCATTAATTTTTGAACAACAGAAAGATGGTAAAAACCAGTTGTTTTCCCCCTCTTTTATTGCTTTGTACTATTCAATTACAGAAGAGTGAATAACAGCAAATAAAGCTCGAAATCTTTTCTGCCATGCTATAAATAAAAAAACTCTCTGTATCTTTATGTTTGTAAAGAAGCAATTCCATAAGGGAAAGGGGAGGGGGTGTTTCTGTAGAAGCATGTTGTATTATTGTTGGTTTGTGATTGTCCCTTGCTGCAGGTGGGTAGATAAATTATCAAGTTTCATGACTGTAAACAGGTGCTGCGCATTAATTAGGGATTGAACCACTCTTTCTCCGTCGATTACTTGTTTAGCATAACAATCTCTGCATATTATGGCTAGCAGGTTCAAGGGTGGCTAAAAAAGGCTCACTGTAGAAGCTATTGGGTAACCATTAATGGGAAAATACTTAAAAGTCTCTTTATGCGTGTTTTTCTCACAAACAAATCACAATTTTATACGTATGTAAATTTTTGACTGCCTATGTCGGTTAGGTTAGTTGGTCGGAGCCCGTGAATTAGGTTAGTTTTAGAGTAATGACTGTTAACCTGTAATGATTCTTATTTTTTAATGCATGCATGGTGTGTGAAGATTAAGAAAAGGTAAATTAGAGAAAAGTGGCTAATCTGGGCCTCTTGAGTAATCAGAGGTCAACTCTCGTCTATCATCATCTCAGTAGATACAATCAATAAGAGTAACTTCTGTAGGGTGGTGCCGTAATTATGAGACAAACATTATGATTAGGTTCGGACACTATTCTGGGTGGGCCCCTCCTGAGAGTGCCCACAACTGGACGGAGAAGATCCATGTGGGCCCTCACCCCCACAGCCCATATAAGAGGCATGATGAGTTTTCTCTTGCTTGCTAATGCACATGGGGCTTAAAAGATCTCTACGATCTTAAACGAACAAGCAACGGCTGTGATTCTTGTGATGGTCTTATCAGCTATAGACTGCGAGCTATGACGATGGTTTGATGAGTTCCAATAAAGGGCCTCGCTTGCTTGCTTGCTTTCCGTTGCTGTGATTGAAATGTGAGGAAATGAACCAACTTTCTGAATCTTCAGAGAGTGGGCATATCTGACTTTGACCAGAATGATGAAATAGGTGGTGGTGTTTTAGGAAAGGAAAAAAATGCTAATAATGGTCGTACAAAAAAGTAAAAGGTAAATTAGTAAAGAAAAAGAAAAAAAAAACCAAAGGAGAGCTTTGGAGGCTTTCTAACAGTAAAACAGGGCCAACCTTTGTTCAGTTTTAGTTTTGATTTTAGAGGGATATTTGAGTGGGTTCGGGTTGGAATTTGGAAACCTTCACCGCCACCACCACAAATGCACAAATCACAATCTCATTGATGGAGTCTGAGTCTATAACCTGCTACAGCACAAACACTTTTTGTCCTCACACTATCTTCTTTCGCTCTCTAGCTTCATTTCTTGGAGAGTGTACCCTATAAAAGGACCAAGAAAAGAAGAACAAAAAATTAAAGCAACATCTCAGTCTTATTAGACTCTCAGCCCTAGAAAACCTCGACACCAAAAATAGAAAAGGGGAAAAAATTTCTTATAGTCTTATTAATCATCATGTTTTTTTATACAAGCGATATTATGATAGGAGAATTCGAGCACATGACCTCAAGTACATGGTAAATGCTCTTAAACACTTGAGTTACAAGTCCCTTATAGGTTGATCAACATGTTGGAAGGATAATATTACGAGAGGGATGATTCGAGCGCATAAATCTCAACTACTCTTAAACACTTGAGCTATAAGCTCTTCGTCGGTTAATCAACATGTTATAAGGATATTAGTAACGGAAAAATGATTATAACATGTGTGGATGGAATTAGGGCGTAGCAGAACATGTATGTGAGATAAACGGTCCCGTCCCTATTGTTAAGAAACACGTAGAGTGGAGTACTGAATTAGCAACATATAGAGCAAACACTCAGCGAAGGGTTGTTTTTTAATCTTTTATTAGTGTTACATGGCATAGAGGGAGGGAAGGTAAGTCTGAGGAGCTTGAAGACATACAGTGCTAGACACAGTGTGTTCTCTCTCATCTGTAATTGTTGCTGGCTGTTGTTGTAAACATAATGGTTGAGTGCAGTGCAGAGGGAGACCACCTTTTCGTACAAAAGAGGAATTGAGTTGTCCTGCTGCTGGGGAGTTTGTAATTCCAAGAAATATTCATTTTAAACTTGGCTTGTTGATCTCTGAAATTTTAAAGAATGCTTAATACCAAGCAAAAATAAATAAATAAATATATATATATACAAATAATGAGCCTTCAAAAATCTTATAATCTTCTTAAAACTTAATTGGATATTCAAAACTCATTACGTGCAAAACAGTTCAGTTATGTGACTATAATCTGCCTTATGCGTTGTGTGTTAATATAAGAGGGAGATTCAAACTTGAGACATTTGGTAACTTTGTGAATAGAAGTAACACTAGATTAATAGCTAGTTGATACAATAGGATGTCTCAAATACGATAGCAAACCGGGGAAAATAACCCTGCAACAAATAGGATCATCAATATTTAAAGAAACAAATAAAGAAATGAAAAGAGTTAGCTCCCGGATGCCTTTACTTCTTCTCTAGGTTAAAGCTTAAAATTATATGTATAAAGTTTCACTTTTCCTTTTACCAAAACCAATCAAACCAAAATCTTTATTACGAATTTTTCAGTATAAATTAAAAACCATACATAGTCAATGATAAAAAGCTCCTTATTCACCTATAGACAAGTATATAAGCAAATTTTATTACAATGTAACACTTGCAGCGAACTTCATCCATTTGTTCGGCTAAAATGTAACAACACCTAAAAATTAAGATCTACCTAGTTCAGAAAAACAAAAACAAAAAACAAAACAATTGTCATGGCTGATGGCACCCAACATAGAGATAGGCATCTACAACATGGTTTTAAATACTTGACACTTGACACCCTAACCATATCAATATCCCACCTAGCCCCACTCCCATGTCGCTTGAATGTCTAATAATATATGGAGATAATTTGCATATATGAGCTGCAGAGGCAAAGGCATCCGAGAGAGACAACTCTTTTCTTTTATTTTTCTTTTATATTTTAAATAAGTAAGATGAGATCATTTGATGCATAACGTTATGTATGAATCATATGAGATGAGAGCTTCATCCCAAAAGCACGTAGTCTGACACCGATTCATGCACAACGGTCTTAAATCATACACAAAGTTGTTTTGCGCCACAAATTTTATGTGTAAAATAATAAAAGGTGTGAAAACAGAGCACAATACAAAAATGGCGATGCAATCTTGTGTCTAACCTACACAACACAAAGCTGCCAGCTCATTTGTTATCGTTGCAAATAATATTTTATAATATTTGAATTGGGAAAGAAAATTTCAAAAAATATTTATTGGCACCGATTTTGGTCGTTGCAATGTGCACCAGATTTAGAGGGTAAATTGTTTTTCGCGCGAAGGGCTCCCGCTCGCGCCAATTTCACCCACTCTTGCTGTATCCGAGACTAAAATATAAGGCTAGATTTATCCTCTGATAATAAAAACATATAGAAAAACAAAATACAAATTATATAAAAATAATTAAATAAACAGCCACAAATAACACAAGCGCAGAGCAGAAGATCCTCTCGTGTCCGGCCACTCATACCCCCCCATTCTACCAGCTCGAAGCATTCTTTTTTATTCATATTTGGTGTGGATGTGCATGTTCATCACATGGTCATCTGATCAGACGGCTCATGGCATCCGACGACTTTGATCACAGGGGGTT